TTTATAGTTATATGTATAAGTTTTATAAGATTTAAAGATTAATAAAATAATTGGTAATTTTTATAAATTCAATAAAGTATTAAAATCCAAAATCTATAAAAAATATTCAAATCCAAAAAAAATATTCGAATCCACAAAAAATATCCGAATCCACAAAAAATATCCAAATATTTTTATGGATTTGAATATTATTTATGAATTTGGATTGGATTCGGATCGATCCGAATATAATAAAAATTGGATTCAGATTTTAAAAGTTGGATCCGTATATAACAAATCCGGATCCGGATCAAGTATTTGAATATCAGATTAGATCCGAATATAAATAAAATCTGATCCGATTCGGTTTTGCGGAACCCTACTTGCACACTGCCAAACTGAAATAGACTTTTTAATGCAACTTTGCCAAGAAATACGAAATAGTTTATTAAAATTTATTATAATTTTGTGTAGGAGTATAACAATAGCAATATATTACTGCTTTGGTGTATCTTATCACTTTGCTTCCTCCTGCACTAAATTAATTATTAAAATTATCACAGAAATACAACAATAGAGATATATTACTGCATTGGCGTATTTTATCTCTAATAATAATAAAATAATTTCGTATAGCAATAAAGAGTATTACAAATGAAAAATAAAAATAAAACTAAATTAAATGTTCAATATTTAAGTAAAAATAAAACTAAGATTAAAATTGTTCGAAATATCAAGTAAAATATTTTTATTTTGGTTCTTGTTCTTTTTGGCAAAAAGGAATCTCTCTTTCTTCTTCCTTTTCGCAACTATTTCTATATCTTCCCATTATTTACTTTCATCCACCAAAATCCATAAACACGAGGATATTATCTTTCATCTTGGATGAAGGATGATGTGCGACGCACAAGGATAATTTCACCCAAATAGTGATACCGTGTTTAGGACGTTTTCGTGCCACCTCAAAAAGAATTATCTTCACAAAAAAAGAATAATATGAATTTGATGCATGATACTAATTTGTAATGATTTACATAAAATTTGCCTCAAATTTAGTGCCGGAGTTAAATAAATTTTATTATTCTAATTTTTCATTCCGAAAATGTCATCATATAGCAAAAAAGAAAAAGATTCTTTTAAAAGGGCCTTAAAAGGTCTATCTATTAGAGAATTTGATTATATAACATTTGAAAATATTGGACTACTTGCATGCGGAGGATTTAGTAAAGTTTATCATGCTTATTCGAAAATTTTAGGAAAACATGTTGCATTAAAAAGGTTGCATAAAGATGACAACAAATTATTTCATAAAAATTTTGAGAAAAAGGTAAAAATAAATACTTTTTCTTCACTGATATATATATATGAAATTAAAATTTTTTTACAATATCTGGAATCACAGTTAACCAATATCCTGGCTGCAAATTACCATTACAATATTATTAAATTTTACGGAATCAGTTTAGGTATTATTTATATATTATTTATTAAATCTTATATTAATAAAATAAATAATTATCACCAAATAAAATTATTGCTATTTAATAAAATTTATTATTTAGATCCTTCAACAGAGACGTACTACCTAGTATTACAATATGCCAAAGATGGTGACCTGGGAACTTATTTACGAAATTTTTTCTATAGACTTGATTGGACAATTAAAATCCATATGGCTAAAGATATTACAAATGGTCTACGCTATATTCACGCAAAAAATATAGTTCATAAAGGTTTAGTAAGTATATAAGGATATATTAAGTATAATAATAATTATATTAATCATAACATTAATTGTATATCTTAATTCATTTGTTTTAATAGCATTCAAAGAACATTTTAGTTCATAAAGGAAGGCTATTGATAACAGACATAGGATTATCTCAATCATTGGATACCAATTCAATTTCTGTGGGTGGTAAAATGGTTGCATATCTTGATCCTGAATATTTACGAAATCAAATGAAGTCTATAAGATATAAAAGAGATAAGGCTTCTGATATATATAGTTTGGGAGTTATTTTTTGGGAATTATCGAGTGGAAAACCTCCATTTGATGAAATCCCGGAAATTTTACAACTTACTTTAGTTACTAACGGTGAAAGAGAATTACCCATTAACGGAACACCAGAGGATTATATCAAAATCTATTCAAGTGCATGGAATGATAATCCAGCCCAAAGACCAACGATAGAAAATATTTCTGATTCTCTCGAAAATATATATAACGATTCTAATGACAATCAAGATATTCAATTAGAAGCTTTAACAAACAAATATAGTAAAGATTCCTCATCTTTTCTTTATACTACTCTCAATTCTATGAATATTAGTCCCGATATGACTAAAATTGTAGGTTCTGTTGGAGAGATCACAAAACCTTTCGTGCCATTGTTTGCTGCTGTAACTCTCGTGATTTCGGAAATTAGTGCAATCTATGAAACTGTCCAATATAATAAGAAGATCTGCAATTCACTTATGGATCGTGTAGATGCTGCTGATGCAGCCATCAGAACTTTAAAAAGAAAAAAAGCTGAAAATGTAATAAATTTTTGTAAACAAGAATATTACAATTCATTTATTCGTTTTATTTATATCATGGAACGAATTAAAAAATTTATGGTTGAAATAACAAATTTACACAGTTACCAAAAATTTGTACACTCCGGTTCGGTTAAAGATAGATTTGATTCACTTGCTAAAGACTTTGATGTAGTAATGACTGAATTGCATTTTACGATAGCCGTTGCTAATGATGCACAAAGGAAGATAGATCAATCTGCTCTCGAATCCGATATTTCAGATATGACTAAGGTAATTTACATCCTAATTCAATTTTAGAATATTATGAACTTCTTTTTTTTCTCTATTCATCTAACATTCTTTTTCATTATTATTAGTTCTTGGAAAGAATAGGCGATGGCATAGTTGACCGAAATCAAAAAATCAATACTGTTTTCCTGGAAGCGTCATTAATGAATAAAAAATTGGGTCATCCAGATAGTTCAGAGAGAAATATTAAAGCAAATAAAATAAAGTCAACTGATTTGATTGATCCTTTGACGTCAAAAGCAACGGATCGCCGAGTGAAGAGAAATCATCAGGTTATCAAAAAAATATATAAAAATTTTGAGGTCGCCTGCAAACCAATAGATCTTCAAAATAGTGACCCTAAAGAAACTGCAAAAATTCAAGAACATCTAGCTATATTAGGAAAATTACGAGATTCACCCAACATTATCAGATTTTATGGTCTTTCATATATAGAAAACTCTGACGTTACTGTATTTGAATGGGCAGAATATGGTTCGCTCAGAGAATTGTATTGTAAATATGATATTGCATGGCATGTGAAAGTACGAATAGCCCTTGATATTTGTCGTGGCTTTATATTTTTACATTCTTGTGACATTCTTCATCACGATATTAGATGTGAACATATTATGGTAAGATTTTAATAACAAAGATTTTACATAGACTTTATATATAGATTCTAATAAGTTTAATTAAATTTTATTTCCGTTTATAATAGATGGCTACAGGTCTGGTACCAAAAATTGCAAAATTTAAGTATTCCCACGTGGAAACTAGTCCAACCACAGACATGAAGGATGCAACAGAAATTATGCGTTGGATGGCTCCCGAAAAATTGCGTGATTCTACATATCCTTATACTTTTAAATGCGAGATTTTCAGGTGATAATTACAATCATGCTAATTTATTTGTTTATTGAATTATTTGGTTTATTTTCATATTGTTTCTTATATTATATATTTAGTTTTGGTATGTTACTCTGGGAACTTGTTTTCGAAAAAATTCCATACGAAAAATGGGATATATTGAAGATTAAAGAATATGTATTAGCTGGTAACAGAGAAAAAATCACATGGGGAAGGGCATCATCGGATGTTGAAAAACTTCAAAAAGGCTTGGCGAAAATCATTGTGTCTGGTAAACTATTTTATTTTTATTACTATGTTTTATTAACTTTTTTGTTTTTTAAAAAAAAATCTTACATCATTATATATTTTATATGAAAAGCCTGGCAAGGCGACCCAGCAATTCGAGCATCTCTTCAAAATATTTTTATGAATTTGGTTCAACTAGCTGATGAATATTGCACCGGCAAAGAAACTGAAGCTAAACTTTTACCTGATAAGGCATTAGATTTAGATGGATCCGCAGTTTCCATTAGTGATGAAGGCGGTTTGGATTTACCAGACATGGACATGGATTTTAACATTGATGAAATACCACAAATAATTCCTCTTGAAGAAGGTATTGCAGCACATAGGAATAAAGAACATGCAAAAGCTTGGAAATGTTTTTTAGCGCATGCAGATTTAAATAATGCAACTGCAAAATATTGGAAAGGATATTACTTGTGGGAAGGAATTGAAATTGAGAAAGATCGTAAACAAGCTTGTGAATTGTTTAAAGAAGCAGCTGATGATGAAATCGCAGATGCTCAATTACGTTATGCATTTTCATTAGTTAATAATCCACCAGTAAAATTTGATCGTGATATCTTTTTAAAATATATAACCAAAGCTGCAGATAATAATAATCCCACTGCACAATATAACTTGGGAGAGGTGTATTTTTATGGTAAACTTAATCAAAAAAAGGATGAAGAATTAGGCAAAAAATATTTAAGATTAGCAGCTCTCAATAATCAACCTAAAGCTAAAGAGGTTTTACAAAAGTTGGGGATTAATGTGTACACCGATATTTAATAAAAAAGACGGAGGCAACTGTGTATATATGCTATGCCTCAGATCGACTCGGATGGAATTTTAGCAATCTATCAATCGTCAAGATATCATCAATTTATTTATAGTTTAGGATCGTTCATTCATTAAATATTATAAAAATAATAAAAATAGCATTTTTCTGACTGACCATTGCAACTGTTCAAAAGTAACGTGCTTGGGTATTTTCTCATTCTCAATTTAGAGGTTTTTAATTTTGAATATTTATTTGGTTGATTTTGCCTAGCAAAATTAAAGTTCCTCTTCGAAATACCCTCAGAGAAATACCTCAGAATATAGAGCTTGTCAAGTTTTCAGGCTCGTGAGTTCGCCAGACTTAAATAAAAAGAATTCAAGAATAAGGATATATCATCTAAAAGTCGTACCGCCATGTAATATATCTGAGAAAATTCAATGTGTTAGTACCCGGGATATATATCAGTTATTTACCGCTGATACCCTTAGAATTCACGGCTCTGCCGTGATATCTGCATCTCGATAAATAATTATCACACCGAGATAATCACTTTGTTACTTATGTTACTAATATTATGGAATTTTCAAGGCAAACTTTAATTAAAAAAGGTCGTAATGTGAATAAAAATAAAAAATCTGTTTCCAGTAAACAAACTTTCTCAAGTTTTATGAGCACAAGTTTAGAAATTTTATACAATTAATTCGATATTAATCGTTTGTCATTTCTTTTCCAAGATAATAAAATTATACAGGTTGGAGCTGGTGTATTAAAAATTAGTCATTCCTCATTTCTTCTTCCTTAAGTAATAACATTTTAACAAAAATATATCATTTGATTCATTAAATTATAAGAAATATTTTGATATTTCCTTCATTCAAATAGTTATTAAATATTTAGGGAAAATCTATTTGTCACCAGCGGCGATTGTCACCACTGGGCAAATTACATAATTCCCAACGGTGACTATCACCAGTGGTGACAAGTTTTAATATTTACAGTAGATATATAATTTCAACAAATAAATTTCGAATTATTTAGATTTTTATTCTTCTGAAAGGTATAGATAAAAATATTAAAGATGCTCAAAACCAATTAAACTTAAAAATCTAATATTAAAATTTCCATTTTAAAATTATTTTCAAAAAATAAATTTGTTATTAGCAGGTCTTGTAGAAATACTATTAATTCACCACCATAATGAACCGAGAAGATTTTTTTTGTTTTATAACTTTCTTGAAAGAAAGACAAGATAATAATAATTAAATAGTTTATCGTTCTTGATTGTTGCTATATCTGCTCGATATAATTGTAACACGACTAATAGGTTCATATAAAATAAAAAAGTACAAGTGTTCTAACTCTGTACTCAACTTCTATTTTAGGGCTCGTACATTACTCTTCCGGTCATTATTGTTATTATTTGCATGTAGATAATGTGCAAAATTCCTTCTTGTCCTACATCTTCAAAATACTATAAAATACCACAAAATTAACCTTTATCCGAATTTTTTTTTTTTTTTAGAATATCTCTATTAAAAAGAAAATGAGTTTTGAAGTGATGACCTCAACGATCGAAGTCACAGAAAGTCTTGATACTATAGGAAGTAATCTTGATATAGCTAAAAGTACATTTTGTGCTGTGGGTGCTGCTGGAGAAGCTGTAAGCCCTTTTGTGCCGTTGATTGGTGCTGTAACTCTCGTGATTTCAGAAATTATTAAAGTCTATGAAACTGTCCAGTATAATAAGAAGATTTGTGATTCACTTATGGATCGTGTAAATTCTGCTGAGGCAGCCATCAAAACTTTAAAAAGAAGAAAAACCGAAAATGAAAAAAATTTTCGTAATCAAGAATATTATAAATCATTTATTTGTTTTATTGAAATCATGAAACGAATTAAAAAATTTATCGTTGATGTATCGAACTTACACGGTTACCAAAAATTCGTACGTTCCGGTTCAGTTAAAAGTAAATTTGATTCACTTGCTGAAGACTTTGATAAAGTAATGTCTGAATTGCATTTTACAATGGCCGTTGCTAATGAAGAACAAAGAAGAATAGATCAAATTGCTCTCGAATCTGATATTGCAGATATGACTAAGGTAATTTACACCTCAGTTCAAATTAGAATATTATAAACTTCTTTTTTTTCTAATCATCTAATATTTTTTTTCATTATTATTAGTTTTTGGAAAAAATAGGTGATGACATAATTGATCAAAATCAAAAAATCAATATTGTTCTTCATGAAGTGTCATTAATGAAAGAAAAATTGGATCATTCAGATAGTGATCAAAATATTAAAGCAAAAAAAATAAAATCAACTGAATTAAATGATCCTTTAAAGTCAAAACCAACGGATCGTCGAGGGAAAAATCGTCAGGTTATCAAAAAAATGTATAGAAATATTGAGGTTGCCTGCAAGCCAATAGATCTTCAAAATAGTGACCCTAAAGAGGCTGCAAAAATTCAAGGACATCTGGCTATATTAGGAAAATTACGAGAATCACTCAACATTATCAGATTTTATGGTCTTTCATATACAGAAAACTCAGACGTTATGGTATTTGAATGGGCAGATCGTGGCTCTCTCAGAGAATTGTATTGTCAGTATGACATTGCATGGCATGTAAAAGTACAAATAGCTCTTGATATTTGTCGTGGCCTTACATTTTTACATTCTTGTGATATACTTCATCATGACATTCGATGTGAACATATTATGGTAAGATTAATAACTTTACTAATAATATATAATTATATAGATTTTATATATACTCTAATAAGTTCCATTTCCATTTGAATATTTATAATAGATGACTACACGCCTGGTACCAAAAATTGCAAAATTTAAGTATTCCCGTATGGCAACTGGTCCAACCACAGACATGAAGGGTGTAACAGATATTATGCGTTGGATGGCTCCCGAAAAATTGTATTATTCTACATATTCTATAGAATCTACAAATTATACAAAAAAACATGTTCATGTTCCTTACACTTTCAAATGCGAGATTTTCAGGTAATAATTATAGTTATGGTGTCCTCTCGATTTATTTGTTTATTGAATTATTTGGTTTATTTCATATTATTTCTTAGATTATATATAGTTTTGGTATGTTACTTTGGGAACTTGTTTTCGAAAAAATTCCATACGAAAAATGGGATATATTGAAGATTAAAGAACATGTATTAGCTGGTAACAGAGAAAAAATCACATGGGAAAAGGCTTCACCAGATGTTGAAAAACTTCAAAAAGGCTTGGCGAAAATCATTATATCTGGTAAGCTATTTTATTGTTATACTTTTTTGTTTAGAAAAAATAATTTAACTTATTTAATTTACATCATCTTATACGAAAAGCATGGGAAGGCGACCCAGCAATTCGAGCATCTCTTCAAAATATTTTTATGAATTTGGATCACCTAGTCGATGAATATTGCACACCCGACAAAGAATTTTCTTTTTCACTTTTACCTGATAAGGAATTAGATTTAGATGGATCTTTATCTCGTACAGTTTCTATTAGTGATGAAGGTGGTTTGGATTTACCGGACATGGACATGGATTTTAATATTGAAATACCACAATTAATTACTCTTGAATAAGGTATTGCAGCACATAAGAAAAATGAACATACAAAAGCTTGGGAATGTTTTTCAGCGCATGCAGAGTTAAATAATGCACTTGCAAAATATTGGAAAGGATATTATTTGTGGGAAGGAGTTGAAGTTGAGAAAGATCGTAAACAAGCTTGTGAATTGTTTAAAGAAGCAGCTGATGATGAAATCCCGGATGCTCAATTATGTTATGCATATTCATTAGTTAATAATCCACCAGTAAAATTTGATCCTGACTATCTTTTTAAAATATATAACCAAAGCTGCAAATAATAATAATGCCACTGCACAATTTAAATTGAGAGAGATGTATTTGAATGGTAAACTTGGGGAAAAGGATGAACATTAGGCAAAAAATATTTAAGATGGGCAGCTCTCAATAATCAACCTAAAGCTAAAGAGCTTTTACAAAAATTGGGGATTAATGTGTATACCGATATTTAATTTAAAAAAAAAATAGACAAATATGTATATATATGTTGTTCTTCAGATCGATTCTTGAATCAGATTAAAACCGGCCAAAGATTAGGGGAATTTTAAGTTTAGCAATCTGGGCCGTTTTTATAATTCTGGTTAATCGACGACATCTGAGTCAAGGTATCATTAATTTAATTTATAGTTTAGGATTGTTTCATTCTTCAATATAATAGCATTATCTGACTTACCATTACAAATTTTTCAAAAGTATCATGCTTGTGTATTTTTTCATCTCAATTTAGAAGTTTTAATTTTAAATATTTATTTGCTTGATTTTGCATTGCAAAATTAAAGCTCCTCCTTCAGAAATATAGTGCTTGTCAAGTTTTCAGACTCGTAAGTTCGCCAGACTTAAATGAGTAAAAATGTAAAGAAGATATGTAGCTATTTGCATATAAATGATACAAAGACATGAAAAATATTTAATCCCGAGATGAGATCGTGAAGAGATAATCAGTTAATATTTTTTTGTCAAATACAGTATAAACGTAGAATTTCATAAAAATGTAACATTTAAAATTTTGCAAATTTCCACAACACGAGTTAAACTAATGGTTACGATAATTAATCATTAAAAATAAAAATAACGTTTTTTTTCCAGTTGACAAACTTTCGTTATAAAATTATGAAATTCAAGTGAATGACTTTATTCATGCTATTTTTTATTAATGTTTGTCCTCCATTTACTTAGCATTCTTTTTTTTTCTTGAAAGGCATAAATAAAATATTAAAGATGCTCAAAACTAATAAAATCTAAAAACCCAATATTAAAATTAGTTTAACAAGTTTAAAATACATATTCAGTAATTAAATACATTCGATTTAAAGCACCTAAAGAAATTAATAATTTCTATTTAAAAATATAATAAAATTATTTTTTCAAAAAAAATAGCAGAAATATTATTTTATTATTCTGGTTATTGAATTTCCCTGTTGACATTATTAAATCATAAATTAGTCTACAATGTGATGCTCAAGACAAAGGTTAATAACTTTTTTGGATAATTAAATAGTTCTTTGATTGTTGCTATATCTGTTCTAATATATAACAGAAACGTTATTGTAATACTGTTATTTTTGACTTAAAAAGTTATTATTTGCACGTACAAATAATGTGCGAATTCTTTCTTGTCCTACGTTTTCAAACGCTATAAAACAACACAAATTTGTTTTAACCTTTATCCGAATTTCAAATATCTCTATTAAAAAGAAAATGAGTTTTGAAGTGATGACCTCAACGATCGAAGTCACAGAAAGTCTTGATACTATAGGAAATAATCTTGGTATAGCCAAAAGTACATTTTGTGCTGTTGGTGCTGTTGGAGAGGCTGTAAATCCTTTTGTGCCATTGATTGGTGCTGTAACTTTCGTGATTTCGGAAATTATTAAAGTCTATGAAACTGTCCAGTATAATAAGAAGATCTGCAATTCACTTATGGATCGTGTAAATGCTGCTGAGGCAGCCGTCAAAACTTTTAAAAGAAGACAAACTGAAAATGAACAAAATTTTTGTAACCAAGAATATTATAATTCATTTATTCGTTTTATTGAAATCATGAAACGAATTAGAAAATTTATCATTGATGTATCGAACTTAAACAAATACCAAAAATTCGTACGTACCGGTTCAGTTAAAAGTGGATTTGATTCGCTTGCTAAAGACTTTGATGTAGTAATGACTGAATTGCATTTTACAATGGCCGTTGCTAATGAAGAGCAAAGAATGATAGATCAATCTGCTCTCGAATCTGATATTACAGATATGACTAAGGTAATCCACATCCCCAATTCAATTTTAGATTATTAAACTTCTTTTTTTTCTAATCATCTAATATTCTTTTTCATTATTAGTTTTTGGAAAGAATAGGTGGTAGCATAATTGGCACAGATCAAAAAATCAATATTGTTCTCCAAGAGGTGTCATTAATGAAAGAAAAATTGGATCATCCAGATAGTTCGGATAAAAATATTAAAGCAAATGAAATAAAATCAACTGATTTGTATGATCCTTTAACGTCAAAAGCAACGGATCGCCGAGGGAAAAATCCTCAGATTATCAAAAAAATGTATAAAAATTTCGAGGTCGCTTGCAAGCCAATAGATCTTCAAAGCGATGACCTTAAAGAAGCTTCAAAAATTCAAGGACATCTGGCTATATTAGGAAAATTGCGAGATTCACCGAACATTATCAGATTTTATGGTCTTTCAAAAACAGAAAACTCAGACGTTATGGTATTTGAATGGGCAGAATATGGCTCTCTCAGAAAATTGTATTGTCAGTATGACATTGCATGGCATGTAAAAGTACAAATAGCTCTTGAAATTTGTCGTGGCCTTGCATTTTTACATTCTTGTGACATTCTTCATCATGATATTCGATGTAAACACATTATGGTAAGGTTTAATAACTTTACTAATAATTGAATCCTTATAAAATTTGCCTCTGTAAATGTACGCTAATGCTGGTACCGGGGGTGCATTTATAGAGGCTTCGCTCTATAGATTCTAATAAGTTCCATTTCCATTTGATAGATGACTACACGCCTGACACCAAAAATTGCAAATTTTAAGCATTCCCGTACGGTAACTAGTCCAACCACAGACATGAAGGGTGTAACAGATATTATGCGTTGGATGGCCCCCGAAAAATTGCGTGATTCTACATATTCTACAGATTCTACAAAAAAACGTGTTCATGTTCCTTATACTTTCAAATGTGAGATTTTCAGGTAATAATTACAGTTACAGTATTTCTTGATTTATTTGTTTATTGAATATAGAATTATTTGGTTATTTCATATCGTTTCTTATATTATAATATTTAGTTTTGGTATGTTACTTTGGGAACTTGTTTTCGAAAAAATTCCATACGAAAAATGGGATATATTGAAGATTAAAGAACATGTATTAGCTGGTAACAGAGAAATAATCACATGGGGAAAGGCTCCACCAGATGTTCAAAAACTTCAAAAAGGCTTGGCCAAAATCATTATATCTGGTAAGCTATTTTATCGTTGTTATTATTCTTTTTTGTTTAAAAAAATTTTTTTAATTAATTTACATTGTATATTTATATGAAAAGCCTGGAAAAGCGACCCAGCAATTCGAGCATCTCTTCAAAATATTTTTATAAATTTGGTTCAACTAGTTGATGAATATTGTACACCCGATAAAGAAACTGCTGTTATACTTTTACCTGATAAGACATTAGATTTAGATGGATCTTTATCTCGTGCGGTTTCCATTAGTGATGAAGGTAATTGGGAATTACCAGACATGGATTACATGGATTTTAATATTGATGAAATAGCACAAGTAATTCCTCTCGAAGAAGGTATTGCAGCACATAGGAAAAAAGAACATACAAAAGCTTGGAAATGTTTTTTAGCGCACGCAGATTTAAATAATGCAACTGCAAAATATTGGAAAGGATATTACTTGTGGGAAGGAATTGAAGTTGAGAAAGATCGTAAACAAGCTTGTGAATTGTTTAAAGAAGCAGCTGATGCTGAAATCGCAGATGCTCAATTACGTTATGCATTTTCATTAGTTAATAATCCACTAGTAAAATTTGATCGTGAAACCTTTTTAAAATATATAACCAAAGCTGCAGATAATAATAATCCCACTGCACAATTTAATTTGGGAGAGACGTATTTGTATGGTAAACTTAATCAAAAAAGGGATGAAGAATTAGGTAAAAAATATTTAAGATTGGCAGCTCTCAATAATCAACCTAAAGCTAAGGAGGTTTTACAAAAGTTGGGGATTAATGTGTATACCGATATTTAATATATTTAATAAAAAAAGATGTGTACTTGAATATCCGAGTCAAGGTATCATTAATTTATTTATAGTTTAGGATTGTTTCATTCTTTAATATTATAAAAATAATAAAAAAAGATAGCATATTCGCCAGACTTACATAAAAGATTCAAGCAATTTTATCTGTTATTTATGATATAGCTATATGCATATAAATGATGCAAAGACGAAATATTTAATCCGACGAAGAAATAATCAGTTAATATTTTTTTTCCGAAACTATTTTATTAATAATTACGGAATTCCGAGGCAAATTTTTTAAAATAGCGTTTTTTTTTTGTTTCCAGTTGAAAAACTTTTGTTATAAAATTATGAATGTTTGTTCTCATTCTTTTTTTTTAAAAAAAAAACTTAAAAATCCAATATTAAAATTAGTTTAAGTTTCAAATACATATTCAGAAATATATAATTACCTTCTATTTAAAGTATTTAAAGAATGGAATACAAATTAATAATTTCCATTTTAAAATATAATAACAAGATTATTTCTTCAAAAAAAATAAATTTGTTACTGAGACTTTCGGTAGAATACTAATTTTTATCATTTTGCACAATGTGACACCATAATGAATTACATACCTCCTTTTGGTTTATCGTTCTTTGACTGTTGCTATATATAATATATAACAGAAACGTTATTGTGACACTTATTATTATTGTTGACTAAAAAGCATGTACAATACAATGATGATAATGTGCAAATTCTTTCCTGTCCTACGTTTTCAAAACACAATAAAAACCACAAATTTGATTTTTTTTTAACCTTTATCCGAATTTCATTTTTAATTTTATTTGAAATCTCTATTAAAGAAAATGGGTAATCAAGCTACTGAAGGAAGTAATCTTAATATAGCCAAAATTACATTGGGTGTTGTTGGAGAGGTTGTAAAACCTTTTGTGCCATTGATTGATGCTGTAACTCTCGTGATTGAGGAAATCATCAAAGTCTATGAAACTGTCCAATATAATAAGAAGATCTGCAATTCACTTATGGATCGTGTGGATGCTGCTGGGACAGCCATCAAAACTTTAAAAAGAAGACAAACTGAAAATGAACAAAATTTTCGTAATAAAGAATATTATAAATCATTTATTCGTTTTATTGAAATCATGAAACGAATTAAAAATTTTATCATTGATGTATCAACCTTAAATAAATACCAAAAATTCGTACATTCCAGCTCAGTCAAAGATGGATTTGACTCACTTACTAAAGACTTTGATGTAGTAATGACTGAATTGCATTTTACAATGGCCGTTGCTAATGAAGAACAAAGAATGATAGATCAATTTGCTCTCGAATCTGATATTGCAGATATGACTAAAGTAATTCACACCTCAATTTAATTTTAGAATATTACGAAAATTCTTTTTTTCTAATCATTTAATATTCTTTTTCATTATTATTAGTTTTTGGAAAAAATAGGTGGTGGCATAATTGACCAAAATCAAAAAATCAATATTTTACTTCATGAAGTATCTTTAATGAAAGAGAAATTAGATCATCCAGATAGTTCAGATAATAATATTAAAAATATTAAAGCAGATGAAATAAAATCAACTGATTTGATGGATCCTATCGTGTCAAAAGAAAAGGATCGCCGAGGGAATAATCGTCAGGTTATTAGAAAAATATATAAAAATTTTGAGGTCGCCTGCAAGCCAATAGATCTTCAAAATAATGACCCTAAAGAAACTGCAAAAATTCAAGGACAACTAGCTATACTAGGAAAATTACGAGAATCACCCAACATTATCAGATTTTATGGTCTTTCATATACAGAAAACTCAGACGTTATGGTATTTGAATGGGCAGATTATGGCTCTCTCAAAGAATTGTATTGTCAGTATGACATTGCATGGCATAGAAAAGTAAAAATAGCTCTTGATATTTGTCGTGGTCTTGCATTTTTACATTCTTGTGACATTCTTCATCATGATATTCGATGTGAACATATTATGGTAAGATTTAATAACTTTACTAATAATATATAATTATATAGATTTATATATAGATTCCATTTCCATTTGAATATTTATAATAGATGGTTACAGGCTTGATACCAAAAATTGCAGAATTTAAGTATTCCCGTATGGCAAGAAGTCCAACCACAGACATGAAGGGTGTAACAGATATTACGCGTTGGATGGCTCCCGAAAAATTGCGTGATTCTACATATTCTGATTCTACAAAGAAACATGTTCATGTCCCTTATACTTTCAAATGCGAAATTTTCAGGTAATAATTACAGTTATGGTAATCTCTTGATTTATTTGTTTACTGAATTATTTGGTTTATTTTATATTGTTCCTTATATTATAATATTTAGTTTTGGTATGTTACTCTGGGAACTTGTTTTCGAAAAAATTCCATACGAAAAATGGAATATATTGAAGATTAAAGAACATGTATTAGCTGGTAACAGAGAAAAAATCACATGGGGAAAGGCTCCACCAGATGTTCAAAAACTTCAAAAAGGCTTGGCGAAAATCATTGTGTCTGGTAAGCTATATTTATTATTGTTATTAACTTTTTTGTTTAGAAAAAACTTATTTAATTTACATTATCATTTGTAATTTTATATGAAAAGCATGGGAAGACGACCCAGCAATTCGAGCATCTCTTCAAAATATTTTTATAAATTTGGATCACCTAGTTGATGAATATTGCACACCCGACAAAGAAACTGATGTCATACTTTTACCTGATAAGACATTAGATTTAGATGGATCTGCAGTTTCCATTAGTGATGAAAGTGGTTTGGATTTACCGGACATGGATTTTAATATTGATAAAATACCACAAATAATTCCTCTCGAAGAAGGTATTGCAGCACATTGGAAAAAAGAACATGCAAAAGCTTGGAAATGTTTTTTAGCGCATGCAGATTTAAAAAATACAACAGCAAAATATTGGAAAGGAATTTACTTGTGGGAAGGAATTGAAGTTGAGAAAGATCGTAAGCAAGCTTGTGAATTGTTTAAAGAAGCAGCTGATGATGAAATCGCGGAAGCACAATTAAGTTATGCATTTTCATTAGTAAACGATCCAACTGTAGAATTTGATCGTGAAACCTTTTTAAAATATATAACCAAAGCTGCAAATAATAATAATTCCACTGCACAATTTAGCTTGGGGGAGGTATATTTGTATGGTAAACTTAATCAAAAAAAGGATGAAAAATTAGGCAAAAAATATTTAAGATTGGCAGCTCTCAATAATCAGCCTAAAGCTAAAGAGGTTTTACAAAAGTTGGGGATTAATGTGTATACCGATAATTAATTAAAAAAAGAAAAAAGACGAATGTATATATATATATACGTTGTGCCTCAGGTCGATTCTTGATTCAAAGGATCTACAGTTTAGCAATCTATACAATCGGCAGTATTTGAGTCAAGGTATCATTATTTAAAATTCAATATAATAGCATTTTCTGACTTACCATTACAATTTTTTCAAAAGTATCATGTATTTTTTCAATTTAGAAGTTTTAATATTTATTCAGAAATATAGTGCTCGTCAAGTTTTCAGGCTCCAGACCTATCTGTTATTTAGGATGAATAAAATTTTAAAGAAGATATGTGGCTATATGCATATAAATGATAAATGGTTAATCGCGAAGATATTTTTTTTTATCAAAATAAAAAATATAATAATGTAACATTTAAATTTTTTGCAAGCTTTCCGCAATACGAGTAGAAATTATAGCATTATGTCTTTGTGGTATTTGTTTATGTATGGTGCTAATAGATACGGAATTTCCAAGGAAAAATTTTTAATTAGTACTAAAAATAAAAAAAAAATGGTGTTTTTTTTTCCAGTTATAAAATTATGAATGACTTTTTTATTGATCCTAGTATTCATTTTTATTCTCCGTTTACTTAGTTTTCTTTAAGATATTAATGATATTCAAAACTAATAAACCCCAATATTTAAATTTGTTTAAAAAGTTTAAAATGCAAAATAATAACTCCTTTTGGATAATTAAATAGCTATATCTGTTCCCATATTTGATTATAATTACAGAAATATTAACAAAATATGGTCTCATTGTTGCGTTTTCAAAACACTAAATACCATAACCTTTATCCGAATTTCATCTTTGAAAGTACATTGCTTTTGGATTATTAAGGTCTTCAGTATAATAAGATCTGTAAATGCTGCCATTTTTACATTCTTGTGACATTCTTCAGCATGATATTCGATGTGCTCATATATTGGTAAGATTTAATAACTTTACTAATAATATATATATATATATATATATATTAATAAATTCCATTTGAATTTTTATTTCTATTTATAATAGATGACTACAGAATTGGTATCAAAAATTGCAAAATTTAATTATTCCCGTATGGCATCTGGTCCAACCACGGACATGAAGGGTGTAACAGATATTATGCTCTTGAAAAATTGCGTGATTCTGCAAAAAAATCTGTTCCTTATACTATCAAATGCGAGATTTTCAGGTAATAATTACAGTTACGGAATCTCTTAATTTATTTGTTTATTGATTATTTTGTTTATATTGTTTATTATATATTTAGTTTTGGTATGTTACTTTGGGAACTTTTTTTCGAAAAAATGCCATACGAAAAATGGAATATATTGAAGATTAAAGAACACGTATTAGCTGGTAAAAGAGAAAAAATCACATGGGGAAAGGCTCTACCAGATGTTCGAGAACTTCAAAAAGGCTTGGCGAAAATCATTGTGTCTGGTAAGCTATTTTATTGTTGTTTTATTAACTTTTTTGTTTTTTTTAAAAAAAAAATCTTACATCATTATATATTTTATATGAAAAGCCTGGGAATGCGACTCAAGAATTCGAGCATCTCTTAAAAAAATTTTTATGAAATTAGATAAACTAGTTGGTAAATATTGCACCGGCAAAGAAAACTGCAGCTAAACTTTTACCTGATAAGGCATTAGATTTAGATGGATTTGCGGATTTACCGGACATGTACATGGATGGTGAAGGTGGTTTTTATTTTACCAGATGATTTTAATATTAATAGAATACCTAAAGTACCTAAAATACCACAAATAATTTCTTTCGAAGAAAGTATTGCAGCACATAGAAAAAAAGAGTACGCAAAAGCTTGGAAATGTTTTTCAGCATATGCAGATTTATCAAATAATGCAACTGCTAAATATATTACTTTTGGGAAGGAAATGATCATAAAAAGGCTAGTGAATTGTTTAAAGAAGCAGCTGATGATGAAATCTCGGATGCTCAATTACTTTATGCATTTTCATTAGTTAATAATCCACCAGTAAAATTTGATCGTGAAATATTTTTAAAATATATAACCAAAGCTGCAGATAATAAGAATCCCACTGCACAATTTAACTTGGGAGAGATATATTTGCACGGTAAACTTGGGAAAAAGGATATAAAATTAGGCAAAAAATATTTAAGATTGACAGTTCTCAATGATCAACCTAAAGCTAAAGAAAATTGGGAATTGATGTTATTGATCTTCCAGACATAGATGATTTTAATATTGATGAAATACCACAAATAATTCCTCTCAAAGAAGGTATTGCAGCTCATAAGAAGAAAGAGTATGCAAAGGCTTGGAAATTTTTTTCAGCGCATGCAGAGTTAGAAAATGCAACTGCAAAATATTGGAAAGGATGTTACTTGTGGGAAGGAATTGGGGTTGAGAAAGATCATAAAAAGGCTGGTGAATTGCTTAAAGAAGCAGCTGATTCTGGAATCGTATGCATTTTCATTAGTTAATAATCCATTAGTAAAATTTGATCGTGAAAATATTTTTAAAATATATAACCAAAGCTACAGATAATAATAATCTCACTGCACAATTTAACTTGGGATAGGGTGTATTATTTGTATTGTAAACTTAATCAAAAAAAGGATGAAGAATTAGTCAAAAAATATTTAAGATTGGCAGCTCTCAATGATCAATCTAAAGCTAAAGAGCTTTTACGAAAATTAGGGATTAATGGGTGCTGATCTTAATTTTTTAAAAAAAAAGATGCCTCTTGACTCGGGTTAAAATTTAAAGGATCTACCAGCCGTTTTTATAATTCTGGTCCATCGACTGCATCTGAATCAAAGGTATCATAATTTATGTATTGTTTCATTCATTTAATATTATGAAAATAATAAAATAGCATCTGCTTCAAAGTAACATGCTTGTGTATTTTCTCATTCTCAATTTAGAAGTTTTGATTTTGAATATTTATTTGCTTAAGTTTTCCTAGAAAAATTAAACAGAAATATAATGCTTCAGGCTCGTGAGTTTACCAGACTTAAATAAAAAATCCAAGAATAATTAACAATTTATCTGTTATTTATGATTGAATAAAAATGTAAAGAGATATGTAACTCATGCATATAAATGATTTATATTTAATCGCGAGATGAGATCGTTGAAGAGATAATCAGTTAATATTTTTTTATCTCTTTTTGTCAAAATAGAAAAAAAAATATATAGAATTTCATAAAAATGTATCGTTTAAATTTTTTGCAAGTTTTCCGCAACACGAGTAGAAACTATGTTGCTAATAGTTATAAGGCAAATTTTTAATTAATTATTTTTTTTAAAAAAAATATTGTTTAAAAGCAATGTGAATAAAAATAAAAAAAAAGTTTCTTTTTTTTTTTTTAAGCTAATTTTTTTTTTGTTTCCAGTTAAACTTTCGTTATATGCTTTCAAGGTCTATGAGCACAAGCGTAGGTTAAATTTATACAATTAATTCGATATTAATTCGATATTGATTGTTTATGATATTCCTTTTTTTTTTTTTAAGACTCAAGATAATAAAGTTAGACAGGTTGGAGTAATCGGAGCTGGTCAAATGGTAAATTTATTATTTATTTATAAAGAATCAATCACATTCATATTTATATGTATATGAATATTAATCTACAATATTATTCAAAACAATTAAACAATTTCATTAATTTTAGGGAACAGGAATTGCACTAGTAATAGCTAATATCGCGAAATTAAATGTTAAAATTTATGACACAAATCCAAAGCAAATTGAAAAAGGATTGGATTTAATTAGTAAATTACAAATTTGCATATTCTCATCTAATTATATTCTTATTATATTCTCATTAAATTTGATTTATATATTCTCACTATATTCTCTATATATAAATATAGATAATTTAATCGAAAAAGAAGTTTCAAAACAGCGAATCACTCGTGAACACGCGGAATCCACTAAATCACGAATTGGAACAATTTCAATTATTGAAGAATTAGATGATACAAATTTCATAATTGAAGCTGTTTCCGAAAATATTAATTTGAAATGTAAAATATTTGAAAATTTAGATAATATTTTAAAAAAGGATACCATCCTTGCTACTAACACCAGTAGTATCAGTATTACTAAAATTGCTGCTGCTACTAAAAGACCTGAAAAAGTAACGTTTTTTATATTTTTTATATTTTACATTTAATTCAATAATATATATGTTTTTTTTTTTTTTTAACATAAAATTTCTTTATCAAAAGGTTATTGGTATGCACTTTATGAATCCTGTACCAGTAATGAAACTTGTAGAAATAATTCCAGGATTAGCTACTTCAGAAGAAACTTTAAATATTACAAAAAATTTGACTGCAAAGATGGGTAAAACTTATACTCAATCACAAGATGTTCCTGGGTTTATAGCTAATAGACTATTAATTCCTTATATTAATGAAGCTATAATTGCTCTTGAACAGGTATTAATCTTTATAAATTTAATTATTATTATTTTTAATATTATTAATTTAATTAATTATTATTTTAAAAAAAATTAAAAAGGGAATTGGTACAAAAGAAGATATTGATACTACCATGAAACTTGGTACAAATGTTCCAATGGGACCATTAGCATTAGCAGATTTTATTGGTCTTGATACATGTTTGGCTATTATGAAAGTATTACACAATGAAATTGGTGACACTAAATATAGACCTGCTGTATTATTACAGAAATATGTAGATGCTGGTTGGAAAGGAAAAAAGTGTGGAAGGGGTTTTTATCAATACTAAGAATAAATAATATTTAGTTTAGTAATGAAATTAATTATTTTTAAGTTAATATTCTTAAAGGCATAGTATTATTGACAATATTAAGTTATTTCAAAAACCACAAATATCCGTTAGCATTTTTTTTTAACTGTTATTATTTATTTAATTATCTAACACAAAAACTTACATTAAATAAATTATTATCAACATTATTTAACAAGTATTTTTTTAATAAATCTTTAAATATACCTGATTTAAAGTATGAATTACCGTTTAAATTATTATTTATTCAATTCAATACATGTATTTAACTAATAATAAATTTCTGTAATTCTTAACAATGTTGAAAATATTATCTGTTATATTCATAATCATTGTGAAAGTAAATTATATATGTTTTTTTAAAAGGGATGATTAGGTATTTCATCTGAGAAATCTAGAACTTCAAGGTAGAATTAACAAAATGTAATAAAATTGTAAATAAATTATTACTAAATTTTATACCTAAGGATGTCCTTTTCACCTTTCCAACTTTTATTGATTTTAAAATAAACCTAAAATAATCAATAATTCACATAGAAAATTATCTTTTTACATATAATTAGTTTTTTTGATCTATTGTATTTCTTTTTTTAATCTTTCTTCATGATATTATGACTTGCACAACTTGTGGTAGTAATAATTCCTCCAAATTATGTAAGGAAAGGTTAAATTTTTAGATGAGTCAAAAAAAACAAGAATTTCAACCAAAAACTATCAAATGCACAATATCAAAATTTTTAATCCTTGATAATTTTATAAATATTTTTCAAGATACTGCATCTTACACAAATAACCTTTGAAATTTTACACTCCTTTATTATGCCATTTACATATGTTTTTCCAATTTCATCATATGAAATTTGACATTATATTGGAAAACAAAAAACAATCTCAAAAATTATATTATCAAATTTAAGGAAAAAAATAAAAGACTGGCATGATTTCTCACATTTTTTCATCTTTTCATCTTCTTGTGAACATGCCTCTTGGCCTATTAAAAAACTTTTTCACAAGTTGAATTTTATTAGAGAAAATAAAGCTATGATCATCATCCCAGTAAACATGAACCGATTATGTTATCATTTATTTACTTATTGTTTTGTATTTATTTATCTAAAATAAGTTAAATTAAATAATCAAATTAAGTTAAATTAGAAAATAAAATTGTGTTCATTACATCAAAATCCTAATTACACACATATATCCAAAATTCAAAAAGGAAATTTAACAAGGACAATTATTCTTTTTATCTTTTTATAGAAAATCATACGATATTCGAAAGGTGGGATGGTTTTTTGTAATAATAAAATAAAATATAGGAAAGAGAGAAGAATAAGAAAAGTATGGAATGATAGTAGTAAAGAGAGACATATGCAAAGATATAATATAAATATATATTATATTGTATTGAATAAAAATTTATATAAAAAGGAGATAATTTATTTCATCTCAATTTTTTCATTTATAATAATTAATTACTACAAACATTATAAACATTTCATAAAAGATGGGACTCAAATTATTAGCAGAAACATTAACTCAAAGAATTCGTAGACCAAGTTTATTTTCCAAATTAACAACTGTAGATAATCTTATTAATAGTGGATTTTTTAAAAATGGAATGAAAATTGGATGGGTAAATAATAAATAATAATAATAATCATAATCATAATATAATAATAATAATAAAATAATAATAATAATAATAATAATAATAATAATAATAATAATAATAATAATAATAATAATAATAATAATAATAAT